TCCAATAATATTTACTGACATGTCCGATAACTTTTGCAGCGGAGAAGGAGCCCGATGTAAACTAGTTTCGGAAATGACTGCTCTGTTCATTTGCTATAGGTAGCTGTTTTAAAGGCATTCGAATGTTACAGGATGTAATTATGTTAGTTCGGGACGAAGTTGGGAAGCTTTCAAACAATTAACGCTCATTGAAATGTGATATTGTTTATGACATGCCTTTATTACAAATTCTAATTACCTCATGCTGGATGCAATATGTTTAACATGTAATAAACGTAACCATGTCTCTACAGAGGGTAAATATCTCAAAGGCAGGGACGATTGCTTATCTTGTTTGGATAATGCGCACTGCATAGTGCATCACATCTGCGCTAACAAAGAATTAGTTTGCCTAGTTCGTTTGTCTTATGGCCTATTCAGCTAAACGGAATTTTAGTTTGTGGATAAACAGATAATAGTATAAATAGGATAAATAGATAAAGATAGAGTGATCAACGATCACTCCAATGAGCAGATTACACTGCTGAGCTCACCAGAGTGTTCAGTTCAGCTCATCAGTCGGTCCGCTGTCGACTCCGATTCATTCACGGGTGATCTCTGGCAGATCTGGCCCGTCTGGCCCCTCGGTGACCGGTATAGGGCTCGGAGATGACCCCGGGCGGCAGCTGCGCTGGGCCCGTCTGGGGGGACGATGTGGTGATCGGCAAACAACAGCACGACTGGGGTGGCTGTATGAAACAGGAGCCTCAGAGTAGTGACTCGGAAAGGCGCTGGAGAGGAATATTGGAAGCGTGCTCAAAGATGGAGATGTGAATGATGAAAGCTGTACACATTGATTTATCTTTTTGTATCATTTTATCTCCATTACTTTTCTAGAAAGGTAAGCAAAGATTCCAGCTTACAGGGAGCTTGTGTTCCTCTGTCAATGTGCCCGAACACTTCTGCGGAATTGGGGATCGCTGGACACTGCGAGTGTGAACTAAGGGCCCGGGCCTCTCATCCACTGAAGCGGGCCTTGCAGGGCACTAAGTGGAATTGAAAGGATACATACGCAATGTCTTGTAACTCGTAGAGTGAGTGAGCGGCGTTATTACTGCCACCAAACATGCCGCGCCTCAGTCGTGCTGTGACATTGAATATATTCAATTTAAATCGTGTTGTTGTTGACACGCCTGCCTCCTTTTTAATCTGGGAGCCACCTTTAACCAACAGGCTGGCCTCCTCTGGTCTGCCAAGTGCACATGGAATCACACGTGGACCTTACATGTGCATCATATATTTGCATATCAGTTTCGCGCCTAATTTTGCCGTTGAGCGCTCTTATGCAGCACGTGGTGTGATAAATAGGAGCTCCTCTGGCTAGAGCTGTATCATCTCTAGCCGATGGTTTGCGCCGGATCGAGTCTGGTCAGTAGGGTAAACAATCGAGCTCTCCGTGCCCCCTATGTGAGCCACTTGGAACGGTCAATGCCCTCCTCATGAGGGGAGGGGTAGTTGGGTAAGACTGTGTAGAAACTAGGAAATGTCTCGCGCTGCAATGGATGATATTGTGCAAGTCCCTTGTTTGCTAACAGTTCCTGGAAGCCCGGCTAGGTATTCCTCTTCTCATAACGTTTCTTCGAAATCGTGCCGTGCTTGGCTGGTCGGTATCTCGTGTCGTCTCGTTACCGGCATGTCGCTACACCCTGCTGACCTCCGTGACCCCTGCTGGTGACCCTGATGTGGGGTACAGACCCTCCTGACCCCTGCGTTTCACCCTCTGAGCCCCGCTGACCTGGCGTGCTCGGTGACCGCCAGTGTACCCCGGCGAACGCAAACACAATCTGAGAGCGTGGCAAGGCTGTCGTCGCGCTCCAGACACGGGAGGGGGCCGGGGGCCGGGGTCGGCCGGGAGCGGGGGCACTGAACGGGCAGCCGCCCCGCCGCCCCGCCGCCGCCGCCGCCCCGGGCCGGTAACTTATTCAGCCGTGTGACGGATGCCGGATTGCTCACCGCTGCACATGCGGAGATGTAATACCGAAATAGCTGCCAGCAATGGCTGTCGTTTGTCACTTTTTTACGACCGGTGATAAGCATATTACATTCGGAGGCGCTGTTTGCCAATATGCACGTTTCTTCGTACGCTACCGGATACGGTCTAGTGAGCGTGAAAAGGCTGTTGGCTGCTTTTGTGGAAAAAATTGTTTGTCGCTATGAATGAATTAGGTACGGATCACGGATCGAAAACAGAGCTCCATGCTTTTGGATATGAACTGATTTTTATGTCACATTTGGATGTTGCTATTCTCTAACTCTTATTTAATATTTATCATGGCACATTTATGATGGCTATGAATGTGTCATTCGGCTCACCATATCTCGATTACATATTCAATTCCCCACATTTCCGCCTCGGTCTATAGTCCCAACAAAACGTCATGTTTTCATTTCCGTCAATATACCGTGTTGTGAATTTGGTCGTGATTTACTCTGCAGAGACGCACCCTCGTGATCACGTGCACACACACGTGAATCTCACCTCGTGAGTTCAGTGTGTGTAATGGTGCTTTTCGATTTAGAGTCGGTGACGAAAGCTACAAATCGGTGGCCGTTTTCGGCGATCGGGTGTGGTGCTAGTGGCTGTTGACTGGTTGCAGTCTCCGGCTGGTGTTGAGCGTTCAGCGTTCAACCAAAACGCTGGAGAAGAGAGAGAGAGAGAGAGAGAGAGAGAGAGAGAGAGAGAGAGAGAGAGAGAGAGAGAGAGAGAGAGAGAGAGAGAGAGAGGGAGAGTGAGTGAGTGAGTGAGTGAGTGAGTGAGTGAGTGAGTGAGTGAGTGAGTGAGTGAGGGAGGGAGGGAGGGAGGGAGGGAGGGTCAAAGAGGTAGAGAGCCTAGGGAGAGATGACAAGAATAGTTCCACTGAAGTTTTTGTTCAGTGTTGAAAGCTAGCGGTGTTGTCTTGGCTGCTAGCTACGATACTCGTATCTTGGTATACGACGTATCTATGGTGTATGTTAAAGGGACTGTCCCACCTTAACATTAGAATTGAGTTGAGATAGCCATCTTGATGGGCGTTCTTTGAAAATCAGAGCCGTGAAAACCGTTTCTCCAGCAATTACTTCATCGCAAAGAAATTTGTGTTTGATTTTGACATCTGTGCAAATAAGTGCCACAATGTATTGGTATTGGCACTTAAAACCTGTGACGTTTCCGCCTTTTCCGAAGTTTCTGTATCTGTCGACTTGTTTTTATCGAAACCTTGAAAAATAACAACGCCTCTTGGAACAGCGCCCATTCGTTCCGGTGCCACGAGGTGGAGAAATAAATTGATATGCCAAACTAATTCTAATAGTCTTCTAATTCTTGTAGTATTTTTATTTTTGTATTTAAATAGTTAAGAGGCCGTCCTAAATGTGACTGAAGAATGCAAGAGCCATGAACTTATCAATGGCAGGTGTCAAGTTCAAGTGTGCAACTCTGTAAAATTAATCATAGTATCAAAATGATAAATGATTTGCTCACTGCTGTTTCAACTCCATAATCAAGACATGCTCTGAGGAGTCCACAATCTATTGATGGTGACAACTAAGGAAGAGACAATGAATGTTCACCTTTTTATTTCTGAGCATCCAAGACGACTAACCTTGAGCCGTTAAACATTGATAATACCCTGTATGCTGAAGTGTGGGTGGCCTGAGGTCGACCATGCCTAGTAAAGAACTGTTGTTTGTGTAAACACCATGCAGAGGTGTTTTGAAATAAATTTTAGTGATGTAATGTATCATTCTTTGAACTGAGTTGCTGATGGCGGATGAAAGCGGAAGTGCTGCATGTTGAATAAGAAATGCTCTGTTGTGCTTTTAAGCTTATGCTAGATTTTATAGATGGCTTAGTTTTCTTGCAGATTTCATCTTAAAGCTGTCAATAGTACTTTTTTTACCAAAAACTTCAAGTACATCCCACAAAAGAGCTTATCCTCTTCAAGTTTCAGTCTTGATCCGACTGATTTGTCAAGAGTGCGAAAAGTGAGGCGACAAAAGAGAGCTACAGGTTTTTCAAGATTTAAGTGTTCTTGAATAGCAGGTTATACAACATTGTGCTGTGACATAACCACTGGGCCTTGTGCCCCCTGTGACAGAGCCCCTGCATCAGCTGGTCTGACACGGCTGGGCTCGCAAGTCGCAAAGAACGTCTTGGTGCTCTTAATTATGATTGATGATTGTGCTGTGAAAGAAGGGTACCTACATGGCAAAATACATTTGTATGTAATTTCTTGCCACAGCACCCACCTAGATGTACATTTTTGTTGTCTTTGTGTGAAAAATGAATATATTTTAAGGAAATGAAGGCATTTCTGTTTAAAGCACGCAGAAATTCATGTGTGATGCTGTCCCGGTAACTCATGTGGAACAGAACAGGCTGCAGACTCAGATCATGCTTGAACAGAGACAATCATCAGTTATCTACATATGCGCATGCTTTGTAAGTTCCCTGCCTTTTCCCCAGTGTTTCATTTTTCAGCCTTTTTGGTGGCAAATCACACCTAATGGGGAAATATTTTTATCCCTAAAATATGAATGACCGACTTTACTTGATCTCTGAAAAGAGTTTCATGTATTCCCAACAGCCAGCTCACTTGTCACTTGACAGTTGATGCACCCACATCCTTTTGTTCCACACCCTGTCAAGATCCTGACATGAAATCCTGGTTTATCAGTTAGCATAAAAATTGGCATTACACCATTTTACAAAAATACTGCAGTTATTTTCTTTCTGTTTTTCTCATCCTAGGATTTTTTTCTTCATCGGCACACCCAACCAATATCCAATTTTAGAGCACTGCTTTTCCCAGATTCTACTTGCTTGTTGTGAAAAGGATCGGACAAGGCAAGGTACTCATGCTCATGGTGCCACCATATGCAATTACTGACAGGTGAATTCGGTGACTAAAATCCTTAACGCTCTATGGATAATTATTCTGCTCTTATGTTCAGTATGTTGATAACAGAAACTCACCGAGGTAACCTGCCCTGTGGCATTTCTTAGTTCAAAAATGTAAGCATTACACTCATCAGTCATGTAACTTGTATTTACATCCATGAACAAACAATGTGCTAAGGAGCTACCCAACCAGGTACAAGCAGTAGTGTCTACAGCGTAGCGCGTACCGCCTCCGCAAGGGCGCCCCTCTATAATGGACATGCGCGAACCCCTTCTCTGCAATGGGCGCGCCGGCGAACGTACGCGAGCGATCACGGGTCGCCACCACCAGCTGGCGACTGACGGCGCAAGGCCATAAAAGTACGACGGCGGGCCCGGCAGCAGCCGGCGCTCGGCAGGCGCTACAGCGCGCGTTGTGGAGGGGGGGGGGGAGGCGTTGGACGCGGCATGGGCGCACAGTCGCGCACCACGACCGACGGCGACATCACCTGCTGCGTCTGGCTCGGCGAGCGCAGCTGGGAGCCGGCTGGAACAGACAGAGCGGCGTCACCCGGCGGAGAGACACGCGGGGGACGGGACAGACACACACGGGCCGACAAACTGGGAGAGATTCGAACGCCCGCACGGCAGCAGGGCAGGGAGCAAACATGCCCGCTATATTCACGTGTCGATTTTCATGACGTCAGTCTTGAGCACAAGCTGACTTCATCCCTACATCCCGTTTTACTTATAATCATAATTGAGGTCCTGGATCGGTACACCGGCTCAGTCACCTGTTGACGGCGGCGCACAGCGTGACCTACCCGCCCTTCAGCCGGCCCCAGCAGGGTGAGTAGTGAGTACTAATACCCGCCCCCATGCCAATGCCAAAATCACTAGCACTGAGAGTTTTATGGAAAAGCCCTCCTCAGCGGCCGGTATGAGCTGGCCGTGCGGCGGCCGCGACTGACCTGCGGCCGCTGAAGGTCTGGTGAGTCGGACGGGCACCTCCGGCACTGTCGGCAGGGCGGCCGATTTGAGCGCAGCGCTGTCCAGTCGGACTGACGGCAGCACAGAGACCAGCTGTCCGTGCAGGCAGCACCGGTGGCCCGAGTCGCTGCTGCTGCGGACCCGGCCCGGTACCGGCGCCGGGTGGTGGCCGGCCGCGGCGGGGAGCGGGTCCGCCGTCCGCTCCGCGTCCCCGGCCGCCCCGCCGCCGCTCTCTGGACCGGCCGGAACGGTGACGGTGACCGCGCTGATCTGAAGGCGCACCTCCAGACGCTCCAGGGCCGGCAGCCAGGCCAAAGTCGGAGCGGCGGGCGGCGCCGGCGGAGTGGGGGAGACGGCCGCCGCAGCGGGGGTGTTGGATGACACTGCAGGTAGGTTCCTCTCCGTGGTGTGGCTCCGTGCCGATCGCGAGGTACCTGAGTGTCCGTGCGGCCGGGGCACTTCCACGGCCGGCGAGCGGCGGCCGGAGCGACTAGACGGCCGGTCCTCCGCTGGCGGCGGCGGCGGCGGCGGCGGCTCGGGCGGCTGGGGCAGTGGCGGCGGCGGCAGGGCGGGCCTCCCCGCCTGCAGCAAAACAGGGGGAAGGAGCGGTCAGGTGGGTCTCCCCGTCCGCTGCAGGAGAGGGCAGAGGGGCGTTAGTGGTAGTGGGCAGATGAAACGGAATGTTTATTTCAAAGATACACGCTTTTTCACTAGTACGGCAACTACACTTCTCAGAGGTGAAAATCGCTGATATAATTGGGACGCACTGCCGAAAAAGAAGGAACTTGCAAGTCACAAGCAGCGATGGGGACGACTCATGAAGAACAGTGCATCATGTTAAACAACTTCAAGCTAACTCTGAGCGCTACTCAGTACACACTACTCACCCTGCTGGGGCCGGCTGCAGGGCGGGTATTGGTACTCACTACTCACCCTGCTGGGCCGGCTGTAGGGCGGGTAGGTGACGCTGTGCGCCGCCGTCAACAGGTGACTGAGCTGTCAGAAAGTCACACGTCAATAAACGAGTCCTTTCTACACGCTGCGTCTAAATCACTCTAATGGACGTTACAAAAACACGCCAGGATTCTACGATCCTTGTCCAGTTTCTGCAGCAGCAGCGCGAGTCACTGGCAGCGCTGTTGCTGCCAGACGGCGGCCGTCGGCGCCCGGCGCACACGCGCCGCGCACCGGTCGGCGTGTCAGCTGGTAGCGGCTGTGCGCTGCCAACGCCGGCGCAGCAGCTGGCGGAACACGACAACCTGGCGGGTCGCATGGCCGGGTCAGAGGGGGAGTGGGAGCCGACAGGGTCAGCCACATCACAGTGGATGCCTACCTCACCCCACACTGACAAAGTGCCACCATGCCAGGAAAATGTTTCACCTCAGAACAGCATGAACCTAGAAAGAAAACAGGATTGCATAGCTCCTGTATAGAATAGTCATAGACAAAGCATAGACTCAAATTATTGAGCCATAGCCAAGATTTTACTGAGGGAGGGGCCACAGGTCGCGGCCTAGTGTCGTACCCCCTCCAAAAAAGGAAAACTCGGATTTGGCCCACTATTTTTGGGGGTATGGTACAGCTGTTTTTATTTATCTTTATTTTATTTTATTTTATTTTATTTCTCGCCTTTGGGGGAGACCATGACACCCGTGGCCACCCCCTTGGCTACATCCCTACATTGAACGAAGAAGAAAATTGAAGAAGCAGCTTTGACCATAGGCGCAAACATAATATGGAACAGACTACATTTTACGCAGTATGTTATGTAGTCAACATTGCATGCTTTATATAGGCAATCTAATCTTCACCAATCCATTTTGTTAAGCACTTATCTACTTTTCTAGTTTCAATTGATTGGTCAATGCTCGTATACATAATTATCAGCATTCAAATATATGATGCTGAGACATGTTCAATCTCTGACCAACTCCCTGTATACAAAAAAAAAATTGTAGCATTATGCATAGGGTCATAACTTACTGATCACTTTCTGTCAACAGCCTCCAAGCAGCATTGCGATCTTCCTTCCGCAGTGACGGAGACCTCTGTCATGTGCGCATGGTGTGTTGTGTTGTGTTGGCATTCAAGAAATTTCAACAGCTAAGAAGGAAAAACAAAACATTTCTTTAAATACCTGCATGTTTGCTATAATAGCAAGCTAGGATGCAATGAGTAAAAGTAGGTATACAAAAATCCCAATCAATAGGTTCAGAATGGAATAGGTTGTGAGGTGTTACTGTAGTAGGCTGGTTGAAAGGTTTGTATGTTGTAGACATCTGGCATGGGGGTTTTAGGTTGGTATTAAGGGTATTACAAACTTTTTAGGAAAGTCTAAGTAGGTAAGGTTAGGTCAGGAATGTTGGTTATTTTCATTCAAATTTCACACTTGTTCACTTCAATTGTATTCCAAATTGACACAAGTTTTTTAAAAGTTATGGTGAAAATATGTTCCTTTCCTATGTGAATTGTGATGTTAGTATTTGAATTTTACATGCAGGAAGTCAAACATACTTACATTGACTATCATACCACCAACTACAAAATGCCCAATCAGACACAATCAGACACTTTTGTTATTGTATGAGCCGCGTCATATTTGAAAGCAAATATATTTGCTGCCAAATTTCCCCCTTCATTGGCATGAAGTAAATCCTTCATTACGTCACAGATCCGATCTAAATGACGTCACGATGAAATATAAAAGTCGCAATATTTCAAAAAGTATACAATGAAAACGCGTAAAAACTTGCAGAATTCGTCACAATGCCCTAAGTAACATTTCCGAATCCTAAACGGGATTTTTTCGAAGGTGGGATAGTCCCTTTAACCCTCGCCCTGGCAGGGCATTTTTCATAACACGGCTTGGCAGGGGGGTCGATTCTACCCCCCCTCACGATTGGCTCCTATGGCACCTAGAAACACCAAATTTGGTAGGTAGGGGTGGGCCCCCTGGAGTTCTCGCCCCTGTGCAAATTTGGTTGCTCTAGGTCAATATTGAGGGGCCGCCGTTTTATGCTATCTTTGAAAAAATCTTAGGGTGGTCGCATCGACCCCCTGCCAGGGCGAGGGTTAAACAGTCGCAATATCTCGTCAGGGTCCAACATGGCCCACACTTATCACCGATAATTATTATTCCAGGCTAATCGTCCGCTCGCCACGTGTTAGCGGAGAGAGAATGCGTGGGACTTTCCGCGTGGATTTGACCGGGACATTGTTCATAATTTCAGTATTTTCTCATAGTTGTTCGTGTTTTGTCTAAGTTTTGTTGTTATTCGTCACGTCCGTTATTATTTAAAAACATTTATCTTGAGCCATATGTGTGAAAGAAGGGATAGTTAATTACCTATAGTTTCTCATGCCATTGGGTTCGCCGAGTCATTTGTAGCAATTTTCATATAATCGTGTGTTCGAGCGACGTGTTTGAGCGATGGGGAATGCAATAGCGCCTCCAAGTCCATCGCAGCACCACAACTGTGTGACCTTGTGAGCTTCGACAAACGGACTCCCACTGTGTTCGACGTGTTATGCTGTGCATTTGCCTCGCAGTATTCCTGAATTATGTGAAATTACTATCATAATAGATTATCAGTACAACCAACTCGCTTTGCTAAACATCTATGTCTTCTCAAATTACGGTGCTTAGTGTTCCATTAATCATTTCATGCGGCATACACTGTTGTTTGTTCAACAAAGTGAAAAGGTATACGTTATCTGAGTCAGTGGCGGTCGCAGGGGGGGGGGGCCATCAGGGCCATGGCCCCCCCCAAAGGCAAATCAGGGGGGGCCATCATATCATTTGGCCCCCCCCAAACAACCGATGGGCCCCCCTGGGCGTATGTGGCCCTAGCCCGTATTCGATTGTCACGAGGCTCGAGAAACACACGCCAGCTATTAACAGCTCCCATACCGGTCTTTGAGGGTCCTACACTGACCTCTGAGGGCCCTTCAGTGGCGGTCAAGCGCCCACATTGACTGCTGAGGACCCACGTTGACCTCTGAGGGCCCTCCACTGGCCTTTGAGGGCCCCTAAACCGGTCTCAGGGGCCCAACCGGCGGCTGAGGGCCTCACACAGGCTCTGGTGGCCTCATTTCTGTCTCAAGACTAGCCTTTAATTGCCTCTGAGGGCCCGCACCGGATTCTGAAGACCCGATGTCGGCCACTAAGAGCCCGGATCGACCTCTGAGGGCCCCTCTTGGTCTTTGAGGGCCCTCCGCTGGTCTCTGGGGTCCAACGCCGGCCTATGCCAGTCTTTTAGGGCCCCACACTGACCTCTAAGGGCCCCATGCTAGCCTGTAAGGACCCACATTAGCCTCTGAAGCCCCCCGCACTGGATTCTGAAGACCCAATGCCAGCCTCCAAGGACCCGCATCGGCCTCTGAGGGCCCATCTTGGCCTTTAAGGGCCCTCCGCTGGCCTCTGGGGTCCAACGCCAGCCCATGCCGGTCTTTCAGGGCCCCACACTGACCTCTGAGGGCCCTATGCTGGCTTGTAATGACACATATTAGTCTCTATGGGCCCCGCACTGGATTTTGAAGACCCGATGCCGGCCTCTAAGCGCCCGCATCGGCCTCTGAGGGCCCATCTTGCCCTTTAAGGGCCCTCCGCTGGCCTCTGGGGTCCAACGCCAGCCCATGCCGGTCTTTTAGGGCCCCACACTGACCTCTGAGGGCCCTATGCTGGCTTGTAAGGACACATATTAGCCTCTATGGGCCCCGCACTGGATTTTGAAGACCCGATGCCGGCCTCTAAGGGCCCGCATCGGCCTCTGAAGGCCCATCTTGGCCTTTGAGGACCCTCTTCTGGCCTCTGGGGTTCAACGCCGGCCCATGCCAGTCTTTCAGGGCCTCATTCTGACCTCTGAGGGCCCCATGCTGGGCTGTAAGGGCGCACATTAGCCTCTGAGGGCCCCGCACTGGATTCGGAACACCCGATGCTGGCCTCTTAGGGCCCGCATCACCTTTGAGGGCCCATCTTTGGCCTTTGAGGCTGGCCTCTGGGGTCCAACGCCGACCCATGTCGGTCTTTTACGACCCCACGCTAACCTCTGAGGGCCCATGCTGGCCTGTAAGGACCCACATTAGCATCTGAGTGCCCAAGTCGGTCTCTGATGGTCTCAAACTGCCCTTTGCAGGCCCTGTACTGGTCTCTGAGGGCCCTAAACTGGCCTCTAAGGGCCCAAACCGGCCTCTAAAGGTTCCACACCGGCCTCTGATGGTCCCATTTCTGTCTCTGGGACCCAAACTGACCCTTATGTGCCTCTGAGGGCCCCGTACTGGCTTCTGAAGGATCGATGCCGGCTTCTGAGGACCCATACCGGTCTTTAAGGGCCTCACACCGACATCTGAGGTGCCCCAAACTGGCCTCTATATGACCCCAACTGGCCTATGAGGTCTCTACACCGGCCACTGATGGCCCTATTATGTTCTATGGGGCCCAACACTTACCTTTGGGCGTCACGCACTTGCCTCTGAGGGCCTACATCAGCCTCTGGGGCCCCATCTGGTGCCTTTGAGGCCCTTCGCTGACCCTTGGGTCCAACGCCGGCCTCTGGGGGTCTGACACTATGCTCTAAGGGCCACGTTGCAGCCTCTATGCGATAGGTATCGCCGAACCGTTATCCATGAACCTATAAGTGTAGGAACCATGGGTGCAGTGGGTGCAGTTGCACCAACAATAATTATCCAGTGGGTGCAGACAATGTATTGTGCACCCACAATAATCTGGAATAAAAACCCCTTTTCTCATCAACACTACTTTCGATGCAGCACGACAAATTCAGGATATTTTGCCCACTACTATCCATCTTTCGATGCATTTGCTACTGTGATGGCCTTCAAAACTTACATTTGTGCTCAAGTAAAAATAAGAAACGAAACACATGTGATTGAACACATACCGATGACCCACTGTCAAAAGTTTTCGCACGGTATCTTCGAAAATGGCTAAGTTAGCCGGTTTTACTTTTTGCGGTAGTCAATTCACAGTTGCGTGAATTATTGACATTACCAATGCTTCAAAATGAACTTACCCTTTCGACATGGTACACCCTCAAAGCTGGCAATGAGCCTCCGCTCGGGTGCCGCTCCCTACCCCCCCCCCCCCCCCGCTTCACCGGCCATGGCTGGATTTCTGCACCCATGCACTACGCCCGTGGGCCCCTTTAGGCTAGCACCGGGCCCCCCGGGTCAGTGTAGGGGCCCCTTAGCCAAGTTGGCCCCCCCCAAACGCCAAGTCTGC